AGCTGCTTAAGGGAGTGGAGCGAGTTAAAAGAGGTTTGCAGGAACCAGCTGTCACAAGCAAGAAGAGCTCCCAGTTTCAGTGAGTTTTGGATGCGCTTCATGAGAAGAGAGGAGGCAGACAGTGATTACAGGAACATCTTCACTCTGCTGAGGCTTTCCCTTGTCATTCCTATTCATACGGCGCGGTGCGAGAGATCATTTTCTCTCATGAACAGAATCAAAACTGACTGGCGTGCCCGACTGGAATCCAACAGCTTGACAAGTCTCATGACGATCTCGTTAAGTCCTCAGTCCTTGGACACGTTTGACCCCCTCCCGGCAGTCACCTTGTGGTGGGAGGGTGGCAGAAGGAGACCTAACACCACCCCCTATGGGCCTAGAAGATGCCAAAACAGAGATGTTTCAAGCTCTGAGTCTGAAGAGGAGCAGTAAGGTTGGTTAGATAGCTAAAGAGGAGCAGTGATGTTGTTAATTTGATATTAGTAATATTTTACTTATTAATGTACTACTGGAAATATGTGGTGCACCCAAAAATTTTTTGGTGCACCTAATTTTTTTGGTTAGGTGCACCAGTGCACCTAATCCAAAAAATGAATTTCGATCCCTGCCTAGGGTATGTTGCAGTAAAAATATCTTTAAGCACACTTTTTCTCAAGGTGGCGATATCATGGACCCTGGTGATATTATGGACACAGATGTTACATGCAGATCTCAAAAACATTTTCCCGCAGAAAAACTTCCACAAACGACCTTCCTGTCCTTTTACCCCGTGGGTTTATCACAAGTGACACCCACAGATGACACCTGTGACCTTGGCTTTTCCAAAATGGCCGCCTCATCCAGATCATTAGTTTTACAGCCTAATATGGGCGTAGACTTCCAGGAAGAGCCTTAACCTCCTTCTCTTTCAAGGTCGGTGACATTCCAGGAAGACCTGTCAACCATGAGTGCCGTAATGTGGAGTTTTCAAGCGTTATTTTCGAATCTTTTGTCTTTTGTCTGAACAATTTTGGCAGTCCCAGCTGGTGCCCCCCTCCCCCTGCTACCCTTCAGGCGATTTTCGGCAGTTTCTGCAGCTAACAGCTTATTCCAGCAGACATAAACTCCCAGCCAGCTGTCCGCAGCATGCTGATGCACCTTTACTGCCGCTGTTATGGCTTCACGCTCGGTGGTACAGCCGGCTTACGACATTGCCACGCGTTTTTCATATCCAGCCCGTAAATCGTAATGTCCTGCGCGGCTTCGCTCGTCAAGCCCGCGCCGTGTTTGAAGTGTAATAAGGAACAGATTTATGGCGTAATAAACAGGATCTCTGTGAAAACTACATTTTTATCTTGGAAGAGATGCGGTTTCGGATGTAGGGAATACGAGTAATATCCGGGACTTGCGTGTGTGTGTGGGGTAGCCTCCATAGCATGCCAAAAACTGGGGGTTTTGGGGGTCTTCAGGGTTCTTGATGTGCTATTTTCTGATTGCATATAGACAACATAGCTGGCCTGGTTGAATTACCCACGTTTTTTAGAACTGGGCTAATCAGAAAACAGCCGAAGACCACCAAACCCCCAGTTCTATAAGCCTGCTACGGAGGCTAATCAGAAAACAGCCGAAGACCACCAAACCCCCAGTTCTGTAAGCCTGCTACGGAGGCTATGTGTGTGTGGGGGGGGGGAGGGGGGAGTTAAATTACCCAGACTGAGTACAGATGACGTTTCGGAAGGCTGGCTGGTGGATGTTATGAGAAATGAGGATGTAAAATTTTGGTTATGAGTTTTCCAATCCTGCAAAAGCTGCTCTGTACATGGCCAGGGAAGTAAACAACCCAAAACAGGGGGAACCTGGACTACTCAGTATTCATTTGGTAACTTGCATCATAATAAGCTGCCCTGTGGCTGGTATGGTGTTAGCAAGGTTTGAAAAATGTTAGTGACAATGTCAGACATATCTTCAACCACATAGTATCATGTCAAGATGACAAATATACTATTAGGCCCCACCAATTTAATTTCTTGGTTAACGGATTCGCCGCTTCATTTTTTTCTGATTTGCAAATAAAAATAAAAATTCAGAATCAACTGCAAAATGCTCATATTTTGCCCTAAACAGTTGAAAACAGTCATTTTCAGCCTAGTCGTTACAGTTATTCCATCTTTCAATGCAGTGGTATCATTAAAAGTTCAAAATTCATTGTTTAAATTTTGAACCAGCCTGGTGTGTTGACTTCATGACTCCTATCGTACCATTTTGGGCCATAATAGGATGCCTAGGCCTGTTTTTATTTTAATTTTTTTTTCGCCCGCCCGCTCCGGATTATTTTTCTAGAAAAATCCGTTAACCAAGAAATTAAATTGGTGTGGCCTTAGTAAGTAAACATACTTGTCACAAGTAAATGATAATGTCTTGCATACATTGTGTGTACTTGTTGTCAACAACAGACAAACAAGTCTCACTTGTACACATTGCGAATAGTACGTGTTCTCAATGATAGATAAATCTACATAAGGCCACACCAATTTAATTTCTTGGTTAACGGATTCGCCCGCTTCATTTTTTTCTGATTTGCAAATAAAAATAAAAATTCAGAATCAACTGCAAAATGCTCATATTTTGCCCTGAACAGTTGAAAACAGTCCTTTTCATCCTAGTTGTTACAGTTATTCCATCTTTCAATGCAGTGGTATCATTAAAAGTTCAAAATTCATTGTTTAAATTTTGAACCAGCCTGGTGTGTTGACTTCATGACTCCTATCGTACCATTTTGGGCCATAATAGGATGCCTAGGGCTGTTTTTATTTCTATTTTTTTTTCGCCCGCCCGCTCCATTATTTTTCTAGAAAAATCTGTTAACCAATAAATTATATTGGTGTGGACTAAGCAACAAATAATCAAGCTTACACGTTGTAAGTACATGTTCTAAACAACAAACAATTCTTACCTGCACACATTGTGAGTACATGTTCTCTATTAACAAACAAACGCTGCTAACCTGCACACACTGAGTACATGTTCTCACAAACAAACAAACAAACAAACAAACAAATGCTCCTACCTGCACACACTGTGAGTACATGTTCTCTATGGCCTGGTTCCACTTTGTGAGAGAGTTTCTGTACGACGTCAGGTCGAACCCTGTGATCGTGACCTTCCTCGTGATCATGGAGTGCACTGCTGCACGCCCGTCTCGCAACATCAGGATGAACTTGGCATTGGGAAACAGCGACGATAGGTACACCGTCGACTTGTGGGTGAACGGGTCCTTATTGCACAGGTACGGCGCCGCCTCACCGTGTTTTGCGATCACTTCTAAGACAAACGAGGAGATCGCGTCGTCTAAGACTTCGTCCGTGACTCCGGCTTCCTCGAGTCTGGATTTCTCCTTGGTGGACCTTCTCCACTGCACCTGCATGGCGAGTATTCTGGGGATGACGCGAGTTTCTTCCCCGCAGCGAATCGAGGGGTGTGCGTCGAGCATGACGCGTGCTAACGTGGTCCCGGAGCGGGGGACGCCCCCGATGAAGATGAGTGGCATGTTCCGGTCGTACTGATAGGCACGGTTTTCCGCGTCGTACACGTACTGGCTTCCCTCCTTCGGAATCATCTTTCCCTTGTCGCACGATGTGCTACTGCAGGGGACAGGAAACATTAAAATCGGGTTTTAATTGAACAACATGAAAGTAAAGCAGGGCTGAAAATACTGGGTGCACGAGCACCTTAGTGCACCCAAAATTGGAGCTGTGCACCCAATTCTTTTCTGTTGGTGCACAGGTGCACTTAAATATTTTTGCAGGAATTTTTTTCCATTTAGAAGTGTACATGTGTATAATAGTATACCGGATATTCTTGGTCCCTGAGTATCAGAAAAATAGTTAACTCTTTGTTGTAGTACTTGTTTAAGATTTTGAAGTTATCTCTCATTTCAGATTCAAGCTCAGAAGAGGAGCAGTAAGACCTTAGGTTTTGTTTCATATGGTGCACCCAAAAATTTTTGTGCACCTAATTTTTTAGGCTGGGTGCACCGGTGCACCTATTCCCAAAAATGAATTTCGAGCCCTGTAAAGGAAAGTGATCTTGATCCAGTTTTTGCTCACTGAAGAGCTAATCTCAGATTGGTTGTAACAGAGAAGACATTTGCTACGTACAGTGTTTGCAGGTTAATTGTACCAGGGACATTACCGGTAGTGTGCATGTTGAGTGAATGACAACAGCCGGGATTCAAACTCCCAACCTCTTAGTTCAGAGGCAGGGTTACTAACCACTGGGCCCACTGGGCTATACATGCTACAATGAAAAAGTAAAGGACACACTGGTCATTCTTTGCTGCCCTCATCAAAATGTAATCAAAATCAGATGAAAGCAGCCTGGCATATATTTTGGAGGGCTCTAGTTGTGTTCCAACTTCCAAGTCCTATACTTGCAACAGAGCCAGGCTGAGAAAGGAAGGAGTACTGGTAAGTACAGAATCTGAAGAACTTGTCAGAAATACATGA